GGGTGGAAAACAGCTTGTCTCGACAGCTTGCAGATGCAGACATATGGCGCCAAAGCAATAAATATTGAGGGAGATAATGGCCCCCTGCCGTGACAGAAACCCGACACCCATCCGTTTTGAGGAGAGACGGATTCAGGGTCTTTTCGGTCTAAAAACGACTATCTTCTTAGTACTAAAATAGAGTCGGGCCAGCGCCCGTTTTTGGGGACGTGCGGGTCGTTTTCAGACTCTAAAACAGCGTCGCTTGTTCTATGCGGGTATGTCATGAAAGAAGAATTTATAAAAAAGGTAATAGAGTAAGGGACAGTACTCAATGTGAATAGTAAGACAAGTCCTGGAAATACATCCAGTGGAAGATCCCGACATGTCAGAACTCCAAGAAATGTTGCCAGGGTTGTAGAAGTAATGAACAGAGATGCTGCCAAACGTGTTGGAGCTAGAAATACTTTTATTGTGAGTTCTGCAAGAAGAAAGTCTTTGATGTTAGGCAAGTCCAGCTAGGTCAAGGATAGCAAGTAATATGAAATATCATCACCCATATTGGCCAATCAGAAGGGGGGAACTTAAACTGAAGATTTACCAAGAAGGATACAGTTTTGTACTTGGATTTTCAACCAAGCCAAAATTGCAAAACGGTCAATACTTCCTTTATTTTAATGCTATGAACCTCTTACTGGTTTCAATCGATCGGAAATGTTACAAAGATTTCAAAAATGTACAAATTTTTAAAAATTGAATCATAGTGAGTTTTACAATGTCTTAAAGATCGTTTTTTTTGGGACACCCTTGTATGTTTTTTTTTTAAAGAAATAATTACTTGGTTATTTTTTTTTGTATTTTTCCAATCCGCTTTTTTGTTTTTTTTCTTAAAGAAAGCCCAGAACAGTGAGGTTAATTGGATGATATGGTAATAAGGGTCTCCGATGTATAGGGATCTATCTAGAGATGGCTTTCTTTTTAATTGCATTCATTTATTGTTACTGATTGACCTATTTTGTTTGTGTTTCATTTTTAATCGTTTAAAAAAATACTTAATTTGGTGTCACATTGATTGTTGATTTTATTTATTAAAAAATAACCAAATTGTTCATGAACAATTGTACAATTTTAAATTGTTAGTTTTTGAAAACACAAAAGTTTTTCCATTTTCCTGAACACTTCAAGTCGTTCTTCCATCTTTTTTTTTAACAAAACCATCATTCACGAAAACAATGTCTATATCTATCAAAGTGTAAACTGAATGTATAGTATCTACTCTAGTTTATGAATATAATATTGTAATTTTGGCTTGAAAAACCTTTTATAGATGTACTATAGATTGTGACATTTTTACATTGTTAACTGTAAGTGTCAAAATCATCAGAACTTTTATGTATTCTAGATATAAAACAGATAATTAAATTCACCAATAAATTACTTTTAAAACTCAGATAAAAGTATATAGCATTTTTACAACTATATTGCCTATTCAGCTAAGGTTATAAAAGACCTGTTGGCCATCTTATACTTTACCAGTTCAATATCAATTGGAACAAAATAACCAAATCTGCAATTACAACAAGTTGAAAGAAGATTTCTAAGAAATGAAGATTCTATTATCTGCTTTTCTTCTCACCTCTGTGTTGACGTCGACGAAAGGAATTTCAGGTAACACATTGATGACTCCCTTCCTCTTGTTTAGAATTCATTAAAAAAAAACTGTAAAGTGCATTTAATGAGAAACACAAGTCACAATCGTTAAACGATAGTTTTATATTTCGTTTTTCAATTGTTTTTCGTTTTCAAAAACGATCGTTTCGTTTTTGGAAAAAATTACCCTCTCGTTTTGAACTTTTAGAAAACGAATAACGATCGTTTTCAAAAACGATCGTTTTTATACAATTGTTTTTAAAAAAACGATCATTTTTGAAAAAAACGATCGTTTTTGAAAAACAAATTTTATTGACGATTTAGTTAACGAAGGGTCGTCGTTAACAATCGTTAATAAAGGGTCGTCGTTAACGATCGTTCACGAAGTGTTGTCATTAACGATCGTTAACGAAACGACGAACTTTAAAAAAACGGTCGTTATTGGAAAAACTATATAGTTTTTCAAGAAAAAAAATTACTTGCAACTTTATCGAATGTCGTCTTAGATGAAGTTTAACAGTTGTGGGGGAGCTTAAACTTCTAGATATTTTCTTAAAAACTACTCAATGATTAGTGCAGATGCCCTTCAGGTCGGTTTCCTCTCTTTGTTAACGATTGTTAACGAAGGTTCGTCATTAAGGATCGTTAACAAAGGGCTTTTGTTAATGATCGTTAACAAAGGGTTGTCGTTAATGATCGTTAACAAAGGTTCGTCGTTAACGATGGTTATGAAGGTTGTAAATAACGATCGTTTAAAAACGACCATTTTTAAAAACAAACTTTAAAAAAAAACAATCGTTTTTAAAAACGATCATTTCGTTTTTGATTTTTTCGTCGTCGTTTTCATTACGAAACGATCGTTTTTCAAAAGAATGAAAACGTTTACATGCCTAGTCACAACGGTACACTCTAATTCTTTGACTGGTCATTGAAGACAAACCTTAAAATAATCTCTTTAACCCTTAAAAGGATTTTTGTATTTTTTTAATCGTAGGATACAGTTTTGTACCAGAAGTCCGGTTTTTTTAGGGATCTAATTTTTTCAATAAGCTGCCTTTGAAAATTTGGACAATAAACATTCATTGTGATCCTATACCTTTACTCAAATTCAGATACCCCATAAATAACAAAAATATCATGAGATGGCAGTTGTATTGATATAATCGCTGACCAATCTGTATCAATCTTATCCTTTATTTAGGAGGTGATAACTACGACTATTGGAGCCAACCTAGTTATGTAAGCCAAGCTAAATGTGCTAAAACTCAAACTTGGTCAGATCCTGGCAGGTGTTTGGACAAATGTTCCAAGAAAAAAAAATGCCCTGAAGGATTGGCCTGCAAAAAGTTTTGTCTCCTTGATAGTGGTTTTGAAACGCTCTTGAAAAAACAAAATTCTCAATATTGCAAGGATAATAAAAACATGGTCCCATTTGAGGGTGGATGTCTTCCAGCATGCAAGAAAAATTCCGACTGTAAGACAGATGAAGAAGGTGTAAAAACTAGGGGATGTAAATCAGTTTGTTATTTTTAGTTTGGTTATTTTTAGTTACTTTTAGTTGAATCGGTTCAAATGTTTTAGCCGTTTATATCCCTGTTCTTAATAAAGCATGTTTAAAGATTCAAACGTATTCTTTTTATTTTTTACATGATTGTGTGATGTTGATAACAAGAGCATTTAAACTTCTAACCTCCAGGTATTCTACATTGAAAATTATGTGATCATTTAAACTCAAAATGATCAATATTTACAAATAAAAAAATTTTATACATTTTTTATCTAATTTGGGACAAATTCAGCTTAGATAAATTATTTTGAATTTTGAATATCTTCTACACTTTCTTTCACATTTTAAAAGTGTATTGTTTTTTATCATTTGGTAATACCTAGATATTTTGAATTTGTAGCTAGGGATGGTTAATTTTCAATTTTTTGGAAAACAATCGTTTCTTTTTGTTAATGACGTAAAAAAAAGAAAAATTGAAAAACAAATAAGTCTTTTTTTCTTTAAGTTTCTTGGTTTGGTAAAGAAGGAAGGTTTTAATTAAATTGAATATTATTTATATATATATATTTATATTTATATTATTTATTTAAATATTTATTAGTTATGGCCTTTATTAGTTCACCTGCACCCTTGCACCCCCCCCTGGCTACGGGCCTGGTTTTACACACTCCGGACTTTTTACCGCCTTGTATCCTAGCCTATGCCTTGTATCCTAGCCTATGCCTTGTATCCTAGCCTATGCAATGCATATAAAAAAATGTATTTAAAAAATCCTTTGAATTACTATTTATTAAAAGTCAACAAATTTCACGGCGATTAAGTCAAAAATGAGAGGGCTAAGGCTAAAAAGCTAGACAGGGGGCGCCAAACACCCCCTCCCCCAAAGCCTGTTTAGGGTTAAAGTACCAAAGTTTATAATCCATTTAATGAGTTAATTTCTAGCCCTTACTTACGAACTCTTCAGAATACAAGGGTAGCTGGGGGGCAATGCTCCCCTCTTATTTTCAATACTTATCAATGCTTAAAAACCATATGTATTTACCATGTTTTTAGAAATCTAAATGAAACTAGCATAGATTAATTGGTCTTTGAAAATGTATTCTCCTTTTTCTCCTGCTACACTAATATCTTGATTTATAAGCCTTTAGGAGAAAAATTTAAGAAGAAGTCTCGATAATAATTAAAGTTTATTGATGATGCAACTGAGAAAAAAAACGGTTTTATAAAGCAGATGAAAGATGTAAAACCCTGGGGGTCAGGGTTTCTGAGTTGCAGAGTACGATTGCAGTGCTTAAAGAAAAGTTCCAGGTATCTTGTCTGCAAAAATCTGTCTTACATGTACCATCAAGCTTCTTTCAACAAACTTCTGACAAAGTCAGGAACTCAAAACTGTTTCTACCTGTATGACATCTTTCAGAAGGCTATCATGGAGAACTACGTGAATATTCCTTGCTTGGAGAAACTGCACTACGTTGTACACTACACAACACAGCCCTACGGCTGAAACATCATGCCAAGGAGAAAAACTTTTATTCAAAAAAGTCAAAAATTAGAAAAAAGTTAAACAAACTTGCCAACTAATAAGTTTGTTCGGTGATTATTATTTTGTTTAATAGATTTTTTAATACATTCTTCATGAAACCATGTAAACTTTATTCATGAGAACAAAAAAAATCCAAAAGAGTGACGTCTTTATTTGTTGTGTTGAGACAAAATCTGAGAACTTTTGAATCAACAAAATAAGTTAAAACCTTCCTCTCAGATCTCTGATTTAAATTTAAACTGAAATTTTACCCATATATCTTTTGTGAATTTTCGGGATTTGTTTGAACTAATTTCGTCAATTCAAAAGAGAAAGTGACATATCTTGCTGGGAACCATTCCTCTTTTGTCCAAAAATTACAATTTATGCTATGAGATTTAATTTAAAATTACTAAACAACTTTATTGGCGAAATAATTATTTTGGCATCTGTCAAAAACCAATGCAAGGTTAAGAAATTTAAAATACATTAATAACATTTTTAGCAAACAACTTAGTGCCGAACCGGGGGGGGGGGCTGACTGCGCCCCGTGTGCCCCCCCCTTCTTGTAGGATGAAATGGAAGGAGAAATTGTTCGCCATTTTGGATGTTTTGCGTCATGATTTTCATATTGCAAAATATTTTTTGAATAGTACGTTGAACCTTCTACAAGGAGTTAGAAAACTACTTGACATATGTACATTAATTGGTTTCTGCATTTTTATTCATGCTTAAAATGAAGTTTACAAAAATCCCCCCCCCCTCTACTTTAAATGTACAGGTTAACCTTTATGTAAAAGGCAGAGTGGGATTTATGTTGTGTGCAATGCCCCGAAAAATTCCAAAACAAGAGAGGGGAATCGAATCCAGAAAAATAATATCTGTGGGATGCTTGCGTAGAGACTGGCAGCTGGTGAGGTCTTAAATGTAAGATATGTGGCCGCAGCGCTCGGTACCCTAGCCTGTCCTAGCCGCAGCGCTCGGCCCAGAGAGTGTCATAACTTAACCTAACTCATGGCCTCAGCGCTCGGCCCCCTAGCCTGTCCTAGCCACAGCGCTTGGCCCAGAAAGTGTCTTAACCTAACCTAACCCTAAAAAAAATACTAATTTAATTATTTTTCTGGATCTACAAAATTCTTATTTTTTGGGTCCCTTTCCTCTTTTTCTGGGTCTGTTTCTGGTTTTCAAAAAAAGTTTAAAATTCTCAGTTTGTTGATCGGTTTCCTCTTTTAGGTCGTTTTCCTCTTTTTTTGGGTCCATTTCCGGTTTTCAGAAAAAGTTTTAAATTCTTAGTTTGTTGATCGGTTTCCTCTTTTTAGGGTCTGTTTTCAAATATTTTTTGGTCCGTTTCCGGTTTTGGAAAAAGTTTTGAATTCTCAGTTTGTTGGTCGGGTTTAAAAACTTTTTTTGAAAACCGGAAACGGACTCAAAACAAAGGGGAAACCGATCAACAATTTCTGAGAATTTTAAACTACTTTTTGAAACTGGAAACGGACCCAAAAAAAAAGAGGAAACTGACCTATGGGTATTACAGGTACATATATACGTACATGGAATGTTTTGATCGCAATACAGGATTTTTGTTACAACTGGCATGTTTACTATATGAACAATGAACGACGTAATTTACAATGGGCCTCAATATTTTATTCAGAACTATTTTAACCCTATCCCTGATGGGGTACTTGAAAACCAGGATACGCTGGGGGGGGGTCAATTTGACCCCCCCTCTAAATCCCATGTTGTATGTCCAAATATGACAAATGATACATCATTAGAAAGCTCTTGTGCTCTACTTTTAATATCTGCAAAAAAATTTGCAAATTTGCAAAAATTGAATTTTTTATCGCAAAATCCAGTTATATATTAAAAATGTTTGCAAAAAAAATTTGTCCAAAAAATGACAAATTATACATTTTTGAAAAGCCCTTGACCATGCCATTTCAAATATGCAAAAATTTTTGCAAAATTTTAAATAACCTGATATTTAATCAAGAAAAACTAAAAATGTGCAAATTTCCTTTGACAGGTTGTTTGCAAAAAATTTGCATTTTTTTTCGCAAAACTTGTTCAATCCGTTTCCTTATGTCATAGGCTTTCCAAAAAGCTAAATTTTATCAAAATCTGATAAGTGAAAGTGGGTCAAAACAAAGATTTAGTTTGTTACAGGCAAAAGCATGGTCATTCAGGCAGTGTGCCTGAGGACTCAGGCAGTTAGTATTAAAGCCCGGTTTTAGGCCTAAAGGGAGGGCTTTGGGTATGTAAGAAAAGTCAGAAAATTTCAACAGCCTCAGACCAATACTTTTTGAGTTATGTAAAAAAAACTACAGGGGGGGGTCAAATTGACCCCCCCCCCCCAGCAGGAATAGGGTTAAAATACTAAAATAATTTTTGACAAGAAACTTGAACTCCAAAAACTACTCTTCCAAAGCAATACTCGACTGCATACCACCAGATCTGAATTGTGGCGGATTTATAAATTAAGGAATTCTCGGATTTACTAATTTTTACAATCTTTGCATGAGAACCATAGGAAATATCAAAGAAGGATATCATTTCTCTTCCCAACCAGAATATCCAGGGGGTGGGCTTCTTCTCTTCCTCCATTGATAAAGATATTTGTAAATGTTTTTCTAAGTCATATAAAATTCAGCCTTATCAGCAAAAAACTTATAACAGTTAAAGTACTTTTAGAAAGTGCTATTATTTATTTATAAATTAATTTGTTTGTGTTTATCGTAAAAGTCAGTTTAGTATAATCTGTTATCAGTGTTGTTTGAAAATAAAAATAAATAAAAATGTATGGATTGAGATTCTTAATATTATTGTTTTTTCTTACATATAGTTCAAGCAAAAGGTAAAAAGAAAAAGAAGTAACTTTTTTTCTGATTATATAATGATTTATATAAATACCAGGCTGTTAGGGCACTTCGCACCCATATTCTATTTCAACTTTTAATTGTATCTCTTAGCATCTTCTCTTTGTACAAAAACAAAAAAAAAGCAGATCTCATATAAATTTTTCACGCATATTCAAAACTATACAAAAATAAAAAAATTTAACACACATTTTTAAAATTTTGATCATTCATAAACCTTCCCTGAGGTCACGTGAGGTCCCACACAAAATTTGGGCACGATCCTGTCAGCCGTTTTGACGTTTATTGGATACAAACAAACAGACAGACAGACAAGCTAAATTTATGTAAAGATATCCGTTTTTTGTTATACATTAAAAATGTCTAATGAAATTCTTTTAACAAGCTAATTTTTTCTCCTTTTTTTTAGATCACAAGGTTATTCTGATCCTGTATGTCAGGTAGTATACTTAAAGTTCTTTTAATTGTGACCTGACTCATTACCATACCTTATAATCTTTTGTTTAAGTAAAAATTGCAGATCAATAAAATTTTGCATAAAAATTGACGATTTTCAATTTCTCATATAATTGATAAAATTAATTTGTTTTTAAAATAGAGAAAAGACAATATATTCCTTGGTATATGGTTCGAAGGATACCACGTTGTGAATTTCAAATGAAACTCTTTAAATGGGGGAGGAGAAATCATTGCTTCTTTAAAAACAATGGATTAAATAAACACAGATAATTTGAAAAATAATGAATTATTTAAGAAAAAAAATCAAAGATTGCATGTTTTGGAAATTAATGTAAATATTTCAATATTCTTTCAAATTTTAAATTTAAAAAACCGGAAATAAGGATCCTCCATGTTAAACCGGAAATAAGGATCCTCCATGTTAAAGGAGGCTTTTGAACTTAAGGGGGGTAAAAGTAAAAGTAACATTTATTTCAAAATTGAATAAGATTAAGTTACAGGTGCTCAGAACTTCAAGGAAATAAAAAGAATTTGTAAAATGTCGTCTTCTTAACTTACTGATAATGTGCTGGAATACTGCAGATATTTATAACTGTTCCAACATCGCCTGCTTTTTTAAGTTAGGTATAATATTATAAAAACTGTTGTCAAGACGACATTTTATAAATCTTATCAATGTTTTCGAAGTTCTGGTTTAAACTGTAAAATATCAGGATGACCGGATTGTTTTGGTTCAACTGTTTGAGTGGAGTTGGGCGGATGTTGCTGAAGAATGTGAACAATATTTAGGACCTAAAGGGTTTTGTGCAGTTCAGGTACATATGTTGTCAGCTAATCAACAAGTTTTTTAAGTAGTAACTAACTGTTCGTCTATGAAACAACTGCATGGTTAACGCCTGCAATTTGAACCTGGCATGTATTTCCCGGTTTTTAGGTTTGGTAGGATGAATATATTTGAAATTCTACAAAAATTTTTGAAAACTTTGTTTGGAGATTCAAGAAAATGACAATTTTAATGTATTTTCGACCTAATTAAAATACCAAGGACAGTCCACGACAATTGTTCAGAAAGTGTTATTTGTAGAAAACTTCTTTATCTGGGTAGATTTTCAAATACAAATATTTCTACTTGAATTTTGTAATTATGTATTATATCATACTTAATAATTCTATATTTTATAAAGGTTTCACCTCCAAATGAACATGTGGTTGGAAAATCTTGGGAAACAAGGTAAAAAATTGATTTATAGTACTCATACTCAATTCCCCTGACCCTTCAGTAAAAAAAAAATAAACCTAAAGTCTGACCGCGTCAACCTTGTTGCACCGGCAAGTCCTATTGAGTGTCTGCTTCATTTACCCAATGTCTGGGCGATACAGTACAATCTGGAACCGGAAAGGTTGACCCGGCTCGGACATTCAAATGTACTACGGCTGTCCGTGTCGTACTCGGGAATGTGTTACAATTGACGGGGCTTAAATTTGTTCAACTCAGGCACTCTTTGGGCCCAACACTTCCAGCTGTAACCCCTGGTTTTAACAAATGCATAAACATTCACAGGATTACTAACAAATGATGAGACTTCATAATTAAGAGACAACTGTATTGAATTCATATTGTCTTTTTCCTTATGATTCCCAGCAGCTGTAAACTTGTTTCTTTCTTTGTCATAACAAATTAATAAAAGAATAAAAAGACAAATAATCTAACCAATATTTACAAAACTTAGTTTGATCTGAAGATCTACAAATTTCAAGAGTTTCAGGTCGTCTTTACAGTCTCGACCTGTGAGGGTAACCCCTGTACTTCAGAGTTGACTAGTTAAAATCGGTGATAGTTTTGTTAATCATATCATCTACTTAATTTTGATCATGAGATTTGAGGATGATATTTTTGTGTTGAATATTTACAGTTTGGCATAAGAAGATTCGTTACACAAGCCGGCATAAGACTCCTAAGCTTAGCCTAATATTCAACTCAAACGTTTTGTCCTTTGATCATGGGAACGTTTTTATCAAGAACAAGCTAAGCTCAGGATAAGTTCCTTAACCCTATCATGATTGGGGGGGGGGGGTTCCACCCCCTTGTGGCTTCTTCCGAATAACTTTAAAATGGCTTACATTAGAACACTTTAAACTTCTTTACTTTTTCAATATCATAGTTGTAAACAAACTTTGCTAATTTTTTTATGCATAGGGTAGGGTTAGGAAAGGTCAAATGGCGAGTCGGTGTTTATAAAAAAATTAGAAATAATCAATAACTTTTTTAATTTAGCTACAAGGCTTAGACTTATATATTTGAAAAGGCATTGATAAATAGATATGATAACATGCGTCATATGTTAATATTAATATTTGTCAAAAATAAAATAACTATTTTTGAAAAAGTTTTAAACTTTTAAATTTTTTTTTAAATCCTCTCTTACACCCTAACCCTTAAAGTTAGAAGTCTAATTTTTTTTCATTGAGCAGGCCTTGAACAGCTGGACGAGGGTCATGTATTACACTCCCCTATCTCAACTATAAGGGCAAAATCAAAATCTATATTAAACAAAAATAGCCCAATCGGGATAGGGTTATAAGGTTAAAACCCTGTTCTCAACCTGTGTCTGTAATTGGTGAAATGTTGGGGCTTCAATTGATCGGATATTTCTATCCCTTAAGTCTAGATACAAAATTTAGGAAATTAATTAGAAAGTTCTTGTTTGGTTTTATCTCGACCATTTTTGATAGAGATTCTTTAATAAAAACTGTATTAAAGGAACTGATAGTGTAATTTACAATGGTACCCTTTAAAGGTTTGTCTTACCAAGAATGAATTCACTGTTTATTTTTATTTATCTCTGCAAAAGTGACTTGCAAATTTCTTGATTATAAGCAGCAATGGAGAAATTATCAAAACACTTTTCTAGCCAAAAAACGACATCATCTTCCATTTGTTTTTATCTAATTATGGTTTCATGGGTAACTGTTATGAATATCGGGCATTGTCATCTTATCATGGTCACTAAAAATTACTCTTACAATACCTTTAAACAGCAGATATATTCTAGATATCAGCCGGTGTCCTTTAAGCTTGAATCTAGATCTGGTAGCAAGGCTGAGTTCCAAGATATGGTCCATCGTTGTTCAGCTGTTGGAGTCAACGTTGTGGTTGATGCAGTTTTCAACCATATGTACGTAAAGATTTTTTTTTCAGTTAAACAATTTTTTATGAGTGTGCTAAGGAATTGAGTCTTGCCACAAATTCAAATTTTCTAAGTCCCATATCTTTCATACCTAATCATGAAAACTTTTGATATTTCAAACTTAGATTATTTGATCTAACAGAAATCTTAGTTTGAAATATCTAAGGTCTATAACATAGGATTGCAAAGATTTATGAATTAGAAAATCAAAGTTTGTGGCAAAGACTCAACTCCTTCGTATGATAAAGGAGGGCGGGCACAATATTAATCTGAACTGTAAATAATGTTCGTTTGCTGTCTTTACAGTCTATTCCTCTAAATTTTGAATTAAAATATGCTCTCAGGTATAAAAATTGCAAATGCAAAAATTATAAACAAATGTAAAGAAATGTTCAAAGGGCCTCCATTAATGAAGCTGGTTATGGGACAGCAAATTCCTCATTTGATGGAGCTAAACAGATATTTCCTGGAATCCCATTTTCCAAACAGGTTATTTTAACATTACTTATATAGACTAGATATAAATATTATATATTTTAACATTACTTATAGACTAGATATAAATATTATATATTTTAACATTACTTATATAGACTAGATATAAATATTATATATTTTAACATTACTTATATAGACTAGATATAAATATTATATATTTTAACAATACTTATAGACTAGATTTAAATATTATATATTTTAACATTACTTAAAGACTAGATATAAATATTATATATTTTAACATTACTTATAGACTAGATATAAATATCAAATATTTTAACATTACTTATAGACTAGATATAAATATTAAATATTTTAACATAACTTATAGACTAGATATAAATATTATATATTTTAACATTACTTATAGACTAGATATAAATATTAAATATTTTAACATTACTTATAGACTAGATATAAATATTAAATATTTTAACATAACTTATAGACTAGATATAAATATTATACATTTTTTGCTCCATTTTTGAGACTTTGAGAACAGTACGCAAAAAAAAACAATGTTTATCAATCTACGTGTCCTACAGTAACAGTAGCTAGCTAATAATACTATGGCGGCAGCTCCTCTTCGCTCGGCAAATTGAAAAAAAAACTGACAGGACATGAATCATATGTATAAATAGCCAGGGAGTTGAGAACTCTAGCATGAAAACAAGGAACACACCCTCAACTAAGCTTTCGGTGTGGTCTACAGTAATTTGCAGTACACTGACCGAAGATATAGTAGCGTTTAGTGGAGAGTGATGTTTAGTAGCGGACATTAGATGAGCTGTATAGTTAATTGAGATGGTTATATCTTTTTTGGTTGAGAGGATTGATATATTAAGACCAATCAGGAGTTAGGAATCAATGCATTGACAGATTGAAATTTGTTTTATTTCAAAGATTTTAACATTTAATCCCTAGAAATCAAAAGTTTTGTTTGGTCATAAAATTTTGAATTTGTATCCAAGTGATATCCTAACCAAAGTTTTGACCCCAGAACATTCATTTAAACTGTTCTTTTTTCTAACATTTTCATACAGCTTGTTTTTTTAGGACTTTCATCAGCCAATTTGTGAAATACTAGACTTCAACGATACGGCACAAGTGAATCCATTATTATTTTCTTAATTATGATGTTTAAAGGGAGTTTTCATGAAAAAAAGTCGAAAAATACCAAAGAATCAGTTTTGTCAATTACCACTATGTCAACAGGCATAAATTTACCACAATGTACTGTACATCCTAGTTGAGCACACTTGTTAGGTTTTCATACTTTCCGATCATATTGTTTCCGAACTGTGTACTGCAGTTGCATACTGCATATTGATGTTTGAAACCAGGTTAAAATTGTAAAAAAAATAAGATAAAGACACGTAGACGTACTTTAAAGAAAAATACAAAGGGTAGATATTATTGGGGGGGGGGATCATTGTTATCTAATGATTCTTTAAAATGGACTTTAAGTCTTCTAAGAAGTTCAAAAATAAAAAATTCCTGTTTTCATTGGAGACCCTCAGGTTTTCATTTGAAACCCCAAACTTTCCGCACGTTTTAAACCCCAAATTTTCATTGGAGACCAACCCAAGATTTTCATTAAAGATTCTCAACTTTTCTTCGGAGACCCCAAACTTTTTTTTGGAGACCCCAAAATTTTCTTTGGAGACTCCAAACTTTTCCCCAGGGACTCTAGATTTCCAATAGAGACCCACAGATTTTTATTGGAGACCCCAAGCTTTTCATCTGAGACCCAAGATTTAAGTGGAGAAACCCCTGATTTTTATTGGAGACCCCGAGCTTTCCTTCTGAGACCCAAGATTTTTAGGGAGAAACCCCAAGATGTTCATTGGAGACCCAAAACTTTTTGTTTTAACCCCAAATTTTCACAGATATAAAACAGAGCCCCCCAGATCTCCAATGAAAATTGGGAATTTAAAACAAAAGTTTGAGGTCTCCACTGAAAATCTTAGGGTTTCAAATGAAATCGGGGGTTCAAAAAATTAAAATTTTGGGGTCTCCGATGAAAATATTTGGGTTTCCAATGTAAAGATTTGGGTCTTCAATGAAAAGTTTGTGGTCTCCAACAAAAAACTGGGGATCTCCAATTAAAATCTGGGAATGTCCGATGAAAATATTAGGGTCTCTGATGAAAATCTGGGGGTCTCTGATGAAAATCTGGGGGTCTCTGATGAAAATCTGGGGGTTTAAGATAAGACAGTGATGGGGTCTCTGATGAGACAGTCATGAAAGGGGGTCTCTGATAGTACTCCAATGATGATTATTTCATCCTCGACTCCCACATTGACCTTTTCAAGAAAAATGATAAACGGAAATTTACAGGCCATAAACACGTAATTACAGTCGCAAATATATATTTGAAATTTCAACATTAAACAATATGAAAATTCAGACACATAGAAAACATTAAAAATTTCTGGTCAGTTTTCATACAAATCTTTCTTTACAAAAACTGTCCATTTATTCACCTAAAAAATGTATATTGTATTGTGTAAACGAAATTTGTATTAAAAAGTCAAATCAAAATTACTGAAAATTTCAAAAGTGTTCCTAACTGTTCAGCGTACATATTTGGGCCAGTTGACATAATGGTAATTGACAAAACTGATTCTTTGGGAAAAATATTCAATGGTGATTGCTACTAATCTGGCACTGAATTTTCGAACATTCCTGGAAAATATGAAAATGTCGTCTTCATTATCAATAATCTTTGAAACAGGAATGAATGTTTTCAACTGTATATGAATGCGCTGAAAAAAAATCGATGATTATAGTTTGTAATATCTGAATGATTTGTTTGGAATTAAATTGATTCTTTTACGATAGGAGTAAAAAATTTCAACTTTCTGAACTTGTATGGAAGTTATGGTCTTTGGTATGAGTTGAGTCGTTTTTAATAATTTTCTCCTTATATAGACAACAGATAGAAGTAGGATTAGTAGCAATCACTATCAAATATTTTTCAACATTTTTCGTAAACACTCCCTTTTAGATAATCAGAATTATTGGCATTTGCTCCATTGGTCATACTCAATTTGTAACTTGTATCTTATGGGAACCCCTTCTTCTAAGATACTTAATAATCTAAGATCTATTTTTAGATCCGGAATTGTTACAAAAACAACTACAATGATTTGTATGGAAGTAAGAGTTTTGTTAGAACTACCATTGCTGAATTTCTTCAGGTCAGTTTCTGGAATCATAAATAACTTAAAACAGGGGAAAAAACTTTATAGAATATGAAATATGTGTGCATTTAATGGAGATATAGCTCTTTTCTAATGAGCTAAGTTGTTGCTCAACACCACCACCTCCTCCCTATTCTGGCCCTAGAGAGGGTTTAACCTTAGTATATTCTTTAATTCTTCTTGGACATATATAATGCACTAAGCTATCAGAGCGCTTCTAGTTAAACTTTGTCACTATAATAAAACAATAAGAAAAAAGTTTAAATTTAAAATTAGTTTTTTACTGGATTTTCAAAATCTTTCGAAAATCAAAAATCGAGACAACCTTTTGTAATTTTAATGATCTATAAACCTTTCTTGGGGTCAGGTAAGGTCCCACAAAAAATGGGCTCAATATGCTTCGCCGTTTGGACTTTAATTGGACACAAACAGACAAATGAATACACAGAAACCCAGACAAGCAAAGTATATAGATAGAAGAGGTTCCAAGAATCATGTAACCTCAACTAATTCATAAGCTAAGGATAAAACATCTTTATACAGATAAAGGCAAGCAATCCAACAGAAAAAAGGAATATTAAATTCAAATTTATGACATTTTTTCAGGACTGTATTGATATTGGTGTAAAAGGATTTAAAATTGACTCAGCTAAGTACATGGACCCAATTGATATAGAGGTACGCAAACTTGGAAAGTTATGATGCAGGATGTCCCAAAAAATGAATGACAATATTAAGATCTTCTTTGAATTCAACCATGTAAAAACTGATTTCAAAAGTCATAATATTACAGTACAACAGTAAGTGATTAAAACAAAAAAAAAACCCTAAAAATTCTAAACTTTAGCAAAGCAATCAAAAAATTCTGGGAATTACATATTTTTTTTAAATCTAAGTACCATTATTCAGGCTACATAATCTTTATATTTAGGAAATTTTGATACAAATTGAAGATTTTGGCCCTGATGGCATATTTTTTATAAATGAAGTTGAAGACTTTGGTCTTGACTCGGTGAATTTGACTGAATATTACGGTGTTGGGAAAACCACAGAGTTCAGATATGGATTAAAGGTTAGATTAGTCACCTTTTACAAACTAGGGTAGCCATTCAGTCTTCAGTTGCAGATGCCTTACAAAAGCCCCTGGGCATCTGTTTAACAGAATTAAGGTTGCACAATAGCCAATGCATACACCCCTCATTATTTCTGCAAGTAAAGTAACAGCTCAACCTTAACCTTTTTCATTCTAGGTCTAAGTGTTAATCAACCTTTGAAACGTAGGATTCTTTCCTCGCTAGTTACCACCTTTAATTACCTTAGATTTCTGAGATCATCAATGCTGGAGAAGATTTTGGTTTACTATCATCTATATATGATGAAGCTTCAGGAATGGCAGATCCAGATCATGCTGTTGTTTTCATTGATAACCATGAAACTCAAAGGGATGATAAAATGAACATTCTGACTTTTAAGGTAGCTAATATTTAGGAGAACCTTTGGTTAAACTTATGCAATTCCTATTTTTGTATAGGACCCATTGAAATACAAAATGGCATCAGCATTCATGCTGGCGTATGATTATGGCTTCAAACGAGTAATGTCAAGCTATAAGTTTAACAAATCAGATCAGGTGGGTATAAGTTATGAATGCCATAGCAAGAATTATTTCATGCTTAATTAAATCAGAATATTAAGGGTTTAGTTTAGGCTAATGATTATCTACAATTACTTTGCAGGATGGTTAAGGGAATTTTAACTTGCTAAGGCTTCTCAAGACCAATTTTGCATACAAAACATAATGCATGCAAAATTGGTTGACGGTAAAGCAAAATTAAGTAAAGTAAAGAAAAAGTTTTAAGTTCCTGATAAATGGTTGTACACAATTTTATCTTTTTTAGAGATGACAAGAACAAATTTACTAACAGGTCTTTATTTATCTTAACTCGGCAATGGAACTTTAAATAACTTCACATTCCAATGTTTGGGGAATCATGGATTGGTGATATTGGTAAAAAGGCAGTATAATTAATTATTAATTCATAATTCTTATATATTTCATTCGGGTGCAGGGCCCACCAGATAACTCTACCAAAAACTGTACTGGAGAAGAATGGGTGTGTGAGCATAGGTAAGTGTTGAAATAATTCTTAGATGTAAAAAATCATAGCCATTGAAGGAAAAGCCAAAGGACAGAACTTTTAGCAGAAATAGTGATAATCAAGAACTCCATAGCTTGCTTAATCCAGCTTTAACTCATATAATATCCTAGATGGAACTCAATTGGGAACATGATCAAATTTGCCAACAGAGTTCAAGGAGAACCAGTAGAAAATTGGGAGGCAAGGATCGATTATGTTTCTTTTTCAAGGTAAGTTGATCAATCCATTTCAGCGGTGTGGTAACAGTTCGCCCAATAACGTTTCACCCAAAATAATGTTTCACCCAAAATATTGTTTCACCCAAAATACATTTCACCCAATCACGTTTCACCCAAACTACACTAACTTAAGAGTTTCACCCCCCAAAAAAAAATCTTGCAAAATTTATTTTGACTTTTTAAAAAATATCTCTTTTAATTTATTAAAATTGTATAGATAAGGTTACAGATATTCTAATTACTGCTCAATTTATGCATCCTCTCGGAGTCCAAACATGAAGTTGACATTCATGGCTATTTTGATCAATAAGAATGGGCTTCCCCCTTTTTTAGGAGATGTACTTAGCTACATGTAACTGTGCCGCCATGGTCAGATAAAATATGGTTTTGCAGATTTCGAACAAAAAAGTTACGGATGTACAACAATTTGCATTAATATATTTGTATATATGAGTCAACCCACTCAGATTAGATTTTTTTTAACCAATCTAAAAACATTCCCACAATTATCTTGTTTTTCCCAATCAAAATTTGAGGCAAATTGGTCCAGGGGTTTTGAGTTATGATCGGAAATCATAAATCATCAGCAATGTATGTTTCAGAAAAATAGAAAGAAATGGGGTGAAACTCTTCAATAAGTGTAGTTTGGGTGAAACATAATTTGGGTTAAACGTAGTATTGGGTGAAACGTTATTTTACCTAAAATTGGCTGAAAAGTTTTTGGGGAAACGTGATTGGGTAAAACGTTATTGGGCTAACTGTTACCACACCATTTCAGCCTGTCTTGAATGAAAGCAATTTAAGTAGAAAATTAACCCTAGATAGATGTAAAGAATTCTGTAAAATTTTATCATGTTCGTTGAATTTTATGAAATATCATATTACTATATATTACAATATTTTTGTTGATTTCATTCAAGATTATTTCAATATTTTCTAATAAATTTTTATTTTACTTCAGAATTTTACTGCATGCAAAATTATTAATTGGGAAGTTGCTATTGGGGAAAGAAGTGACCAGGGAAATTGTGTTTTGGAAGTTGTGTTAGGGAGATTGTTGATGGGGAAGTTGTGATGGGTAAATTACCTAACACCACTTGTATAAGGGGTGAATCATTATCAGATTAAAAATCAACTTAGTTTTTTTATCAATAGCGCCATTTTTGACGAAATGGGTTAGTTTTTTTGTTGTATTTGACTAGTTATATTACTTTGTAGCATTAGCAACATAATCTTTTTTAGAGGTAAAATTGCTTATTTTGCAATGGGTAACCTTGGTCTGGTTATGGACACAGGACTGCCAGATGGTAACCATTTAAATAATAACATGAAATTTAGTTTGACTCGTTCATTACCAATTATTCAACATAAAACTGTTGAGGGTCAAATTTTACTTTAAGCCTGTTGCACATTGAATGGCCAAACCAATTTCCTACAATGGTAGGTGATAATATCAATACAATGAAGACAAATTTTGATTCCAATTTTGAATTAAATTAAGCTGTTAAACAGTATGGATACCCATAAACATATTAAAGTCAAGTTAAAGAAGTTTCTCTTTGATTTATTTTAAACTTATTATTCGAAAAAAAAGGCTTTAAAAATTTAATTAAAAAGTTGTCCTTATTGTTTTGATGTAATTGTCTACTATTGTAGATAATGAGAATTTATATCTTTAATTTTCTTTACTTCAATTATTTAGGGCAATACTGTGATATAATATCTGATTGTAAACAAACTATTGAAGTAGTAAATGGGAAAGCATCCATTTCTGTGTTTAATGAAACTGAACCAGTTGTAGCATTATGTGTTGATTGTGGTTTCTTGTCTGTTGAACCATCAACCACAACAACTACTACAACAACCACAACAGCTACAACAACTACAACAACTACAACAACTACAACAACTACAACAACTACAACAACTACAACTACTACAACAACCACAACTACAATAACTACAACAACTACGACTACTACAACAACTTCAACTACAACAACTACAACAACCACAACTACAACTACAACTAAAACTACAACTACAACTACTACAGAAACAACAACAGCAACAACAACAACAACAACAACAACAACAACAACAACAACAACAACAACAACAACTACAACAACAACAACAACAACAACAACAACAACAAAAACTACCAATCCAGTCACTGCACCATCAAACTGCTGCAAGGCATTAAAGATTACTAGTAGTGGAGGTAATTTTGAAACATACAATTCAATAACATATCCAAATTCTTAATTGTCAACTAATTTAGGAATACTGGAATATTACCCTGAATTTTTGGGAATCTACAGAATTTATGGTAATATTGTCAAGTAGATAGTATTTATTATGAATATTTCAAGGTCCTGTAAGACTAGTTATATTTTTATCAAACTTTACCTTAATAAGCTTTCCACTAAAAAACTTGCTAAAATAAAAGGTTTTGGAAACTTATAGATGGTTCAAATTAGAATAATAGAAATGAAAAATAAATATTAAATAAAAATCTAAAATGTTTCAATTTAGACACTAATAACTGGTTTGTAGGTGCTGATAATGACAGAGGAGTGTATAAACATGAATCAATACTCCACACTACAAAATTTTTGCATTTTACTGAGGGTAAATACAATTCTGAAGAATTTTAAGTGACCCTCCATATATAGAGTGCCATGTGTTATTTTCAAAGGTTCTTGTGAATATTTATCAAAAATGATGGAATTGTTTTTTTTCTGTCTTTGAGTGTATTTAATTTTAAAATTTTATTTTTTTCTCCAGTTGCATAAACGAGAAATGCAATAATCTATAATAGATAAAAAATGAGATCCCTCCATCTTTTTATTTAGTCAAAGGTTTAAAGGGTACGCATGTAAATAGATTGACACTTGAAATAATGTAATTTATGAATTTTCTTTTAAAGTTTTGATTTCTCATAGTTGTAAACAAATTTATCTAGCTAAAGTTATTTTTAGATAAACATTATAAATGGATAAGATGGACAATATCACTGGAGGATGATGACATATTTGGTCTTGCTGGGTAATTATAATTGACATCCTTCTCCTATAATCTGTAGTAGAAGGGATGAATTTTTCAGAAAATTGTGATAATGATATTTAAAAAATATTAAACCATACAAATCTTGACCGACATTAACTCTTTATTCATTCAAAATGCAACTGCTTTCAGAGTCCATAATTTGTTTCAAAAAAAAACATTTTTTTTCATTCACGAATGTTTACAAAAATTTACAAGACAAAACTGTGCAATTAATTTTTCTTCTCAAAACTTTAAAATTGGAATGAAAATTAGAATCTCTGATGATGCCGAGTGTGTGGAGAATGTTGGTTACTTACCAGGAGTTAGTTGGGAATATGAACTTCCTGGAGATGGTTGGTATCCTGATAACACGGTCACTAACATGTGTCACGAGGTAAATATAAACTCCCCCACAAACAGTTGGTATTCTGCTAACATGGATACCATCTTGTGTCACAAGGTACATATGAACTCCCAGGAAACGGTGTGTATTCTATTAACACAATTACCATCTTGTATCATGAGGTACTTACCAACTACCAGGAGAAAGTTAGTATTCTGAATACACAGTCAACATCTTTTGTCATAGGTAAATATGAACTACCGGGAGACAGTTGGTATTCTGATAACATGATTACCATCTTGTGTCATGAGGTACGTACGAACTACCAGGAGTAAGTTGGTATTTTGATAACACAGACACCATCATGTGTCACTAGGTAAATATTAACTCTCAGGAGAGGGTTGGTATTATGATAACACTGTCACCATCTTTTGCCATGAGGTATATATGATCATTCCTGTGATAGTTAGTATTTTGATAATATGGTCACCAATTTCTTGTGTCATGAAGTAAATATGAATTACTTGGAGACAGTTGGTATTCTGATAACACGGTCACCATCTTGTGTCACAAGGTAAATATAAACTCCCCGATGGTAGGTATTCTGATAACATAATCACCATCAGGGGCCATATTTCTTCCTCCCTCCTTTGGCCCTCAATTATTCAATTCCCCCTCCCCCCATTTCTTGTTATATATTGTTAGGTGCCCCTGACATTAGAAAAAACTTGTTTTGATTATTTTGCTTTGATGTAAATAATATATTTCCTATGAAAACGATGATACATCGATTGGACTAATAGCAAATTGAACTGAAATTGTTCATTGGAGGAAAGTCTGCTGTTCACAAATCGGTATTTAGTCCATTTGAACATTTGTACACATGAATGAATAACAAACTTAATTATTTTTAATTTAACTATTTTTTTTTAATCTAAAATATATTTTATCATACCAAACTTTACAGGAGGTAATTTTTGTAAAATTTTTAAATTAGTTCAATAAAACAAATATTTCTTCAAAAGGACTTTATTTCGTCTAAATGAACGAAAGTTTTATCGATCATGGGTCAGTGGTCCAATTGGTATTACACCATAAAAATAGTTTTATTTTTAGGAGGAAGAACAAATTGATGCTGACACGAATAAATAAAACATCATTGTGTACAAAAAATTAGTACAAAATAAAAATTATAAAAATGACAATGTTTTAAGAAACTCAATAAAGTTGAGAAATGTTCAAGACTTTTCTGAAACGATTAATTAGAAATATAATAATTCTGAAAACGTAACCATCCAAATGGATGATTTCAAACGTCGACTAAAAGTTTGCTCTCAAACTCAGTAATTATACATCATATAAAAACGATTTATATGTCTCAAATGAATCCTAAAAATGTCTCATAATTCAAGTACCATAAATTGCCGGTCACCCCCTTTAAAGACTTTGTCGACGATTTTCAGTGACCTTAGCTCCATTTACAGAGTTGCATGTCCTATTCACTATAGTACTCCATAAACCTTTTTTAGAGTACAGATTCACTATGGTACCCTACAAACCTTTGTCAGAGTACAGATTCACTATGGTACTCTATAATCCTTTGTTTTAATACAGATTCACGATGGTACCTTATAAACCTTTGTCAGAGTACAGATTTATGGTACCCTATAAACCTTTGTCTGAGTCAGATTCACTATGGTACCCTATAAACCTTTGTCTGAGTTCAAATGATGAAGTAATGAAATCCCTCCCTTCTCCCAAATTTATAAAAGAGGTAAAGAACCAAACTGGGATAGGGTTTATGCAAACATTAAAATTACCTTTTTTCTATTTCATTATATTTGAGATTTATTCTTTCACGCATAAAAAAAATACAAGTCATAGATTAAATATATTTGGCACTATGTATAATTGATAAAAAAATTACAATATTGCATTTTTAATACATGTCAAAAATTCACAACTAAAGTTAGACAGAAGATGAAATACGTAATAGATTGATAAGAAAAATAGCAGAAATTAGAAAATAAAGATTCAACATATTTTTTTCCTGAATGCCCAGATTTTTTTTAACAAAGACAAAAACATAAACTGACTAATTCCCAACCCCTCGGACGACATTAAATAGTTATTTCTTTAAGCAAAGTTTACAGTAAAATGTTCTCAATTAACTTATTTAAGGGATTGTTTGACTTCTTCAAAATACTTACAATTAATTTTTGATATTATAAATAAATACTCGAAAATTGTTATTCAAGCATTAAATTTGCTGTCTCTCAAAAACATTTTATTTGTGATCCTAAATTTAAAAATCATTTTCAAATGAGTTAACAATCCCTTTGTTTGACGATTATGAAAAATGAGTTTGAATGACACATTTTTGGTCAAACAAAATTGACTTATACAAGTTGACTGAAAACTTGATTGACTAGAGAGAGCTAAAGAGTAAACTGACTATACAGGAATGAATGAAAAACACATGCGGATAAAAAATGGTTGAATTGTGAATTAAAACTAAATGGTTAAATCTCTACAATGGAACCAGAGAACTCAAATATAAGAAGATGTGTTTAAGAATCGTGTTTTGACGTTTAAATGTTAACGGTGTAAAGAGACCAATTTCACTAAATATTGATCTAATATTTGATTTGCAACAACATAAAATATACTTAAGCATTGCTATATTGTGTTCTTCCTATTCGATTGTTTTCTGGTTATCACTGTATGTATTTATTTTCCCTGCTGATATTGATGGTGAACAAATGGTTTGATCTGAGCACTGCCACTGTTGTAGGGGTTGTTGTAGGGGCTGTAAGGAGAAGGATTAGGGGCATAGGGTCCAGGACCAGATACATAAGGGGCAGGGCTAGCGACATAGGGAGCAGGAGTAGGGGCGTATGGTGCTGGCGCAGGGGAATAAGGCGTAGGCACAGGGGCGTAGGCTGGAGCCGCAGGGGCGTAGGCAGGCGCCGCATGGTAAGAGGCATGCTGTGGGGCAGCGTGGTGGGGAGCATGGGCATAATGATCTTCTTTCCAGTGGTAGAGATCAACCTTGGGGTTACTGATGGCATCACAGGGAACCAGAGGGTTTCTAAATACATAAATTGATTTATTGATGAATTGATTGATTAATGGATTAATTGATTAGTTAATTGATCTTTTAAATTCTATTTGATTGATCCATCAAATAATTAATTAATATATTGAATGAAAGCTTGATTAATTGATCAATATATTTTTGATTTATCAATGATTATGCTTACACAGCTGATGGTTTCCTAAAGGCCAAAGGCTGCATCTGCTTAACATAATCTCCATTGTCACAATGTACTCTGGCCAAACTGGCCTTTCTTATCTCAGCCAACTGGAGCTCAGAGAACTTGCCAGGGTTAGCAGAGCTGTCATAGTAAAACCTAAGAAGATAGATAGGTTAAATAAATATAGGTAGGAATGCTTGAAAGGTTGGTCGTTTGGTAGGTTGGTATGTTGGTAAGTTAGTAGGTTGGTAGGTAGGTAGATTGGTATGTTGATAGTTTGGTAGTTTGGTAAGTTGGTAGGTTGGTAAGTTGGTAGGTTGGTAGGTAGGTAGATTGGTATGTTGATAGTTTGGTAGTTTGGTAAGTTGGTAGGTTGGTAAGTTGGTAGGTTGGTAGGTAAGTAGGTTGTTAGATTGATAGTTTGGTAGTTTGGTAGTTTGGTAGGTTGGTAAGTTGGTAGGTTGGTAGGTTGGTAGGTTGGTAGTTTGTTAGTTTGGTAGGCCGGTTGGTAAGTTGGTAAGTTGGTAGGTTGGTAGGTTGGTAGTTGGTAAGTTGGTAAGTTAGTAGGTCGGTAGGTTGGTAGGTTGGTAGTTTGGTAGGTTGTTATTTTGGTGTAGGTTGGTAGTTTGGTAGGTTCGTTAGGTAGGTAGGTTGAAAGGTATAGTGGGTCAGGTAAGTATATAGGTTAATTAGGTAGGAAGGTATGTAGGTTAGGAGGTAGAAAAGTAGGTAGATTAGTAGAAAGATAGACAGGTAGCTAAGATAGGGAAAAGGATAATTCAGTTTGGAGTTTATGAAATGAATAAAAAATAAAAAATAATCGCTCTGAGCACAGAGTTTGTTATTCCTGCCATAAACTGCAGTACACTTTTTTTCTAAACAAAGATTTTATGGAATGTAGACGAAACTTTAAGTGACTCCATTTATAGTGATCACAGGGGCTTTTAACACTTCCACATTATTGATGATTACGAAAGATTTAAAAAGAGCACCGTTGTGAAAAACATGGAAAATCACATGAAATAACAATAACAGTCCCTGTACTCTATAGAGATTTCTAAAATAGAATTAAGTTATATAGGTTACCTATCTCCCTGCTGTAGACGCTTAAACTGATCTCCAATTATACACTGGAAAGTTGGACCAACCAAAGAACCTAGAAACAAGTTTTAAATTTTAAAAAATGGGAATTCATAAAAATTAAATTGAATTAGTTTGCGTATAAAATACCAATTTAGATGATTTTTTTAATATTAAAGTTTTCAGATTATTCAACATTAGTTTGGAGGAGTTTTGAAATATCAAAATTTGGAGGAGATTTGAAATATAAAAATTTAGAGGAGTTTCGAAATATCAAAATTTGGAGGAATTTGGAAATATCAAAATTTGGAGGAGTTTTGAAATATCAAAATTTGGAGGAGTTTTGAAATATCCAAATTTGGAGGAATTTGGAAATATCCAAATTTGGAGGAATTTGGAAATATCAAAATTTGGAGGAGTTTTGTAATATCAAAATTTGTAGGAATTTGGAAATATCAAAATTTGAAGAAGTTTTGAAATATCAAAATGGAAAAATTAGGCAAGGAGGCATATTAAATGTATAAAATTTGGAGGAGTTTGAAGGTTTTATGATTTGGAGAAGTATTGACATATTAAGATGTTGATAAAAATTGTGAGGAGTTTTAAAATATTTAAAATTTGAAGGATTTTGGGGGAAATAAAATATTGTTCAACCTGGAGCGGGAAGTTCACTGATCCCTCCGATGAAAAGGTCAATGTCGTCGACATTGTCGTAGATAAGCTTGAGCCTGTCGACAATCTTGGCTGGAATAAGGTCGACTAGGTAGTCGATACTCGCAACCCTCTTCAGACCACACAACTCACGGAAAGCATTGTAACCTTTCATATGAAGTATAGTTAAGAACAGCTTTGGCTCGAAAAAAAATGTTGACATAATTTTTAAACATTTTATGATGCTCTATTAACAATGCGGTACACTTCATTAAATCTTGATCTGAGCAAAAATAATAAAGATATTTGTTTTTCTAATTGAAAATCTTTTGTCTTAAGTTTAATTTCTCTGTAAAATTTCCTTTCTGTTTCATGTCGCAGAGAAGAATAATTTCATAATTTTTATTCAGATACAGGATTAATGAGTGCCTAATTGTAAATCGCACATCATACAATAGGGGGGAATAATTTGGTTGAGTATATAATGGCTTCTGTAAAAACACAAAGGTATATCCATGAATATCAGCATTATTTAATATGATTTTGTCGAACTTTAAAAATGAGTTATTATTAACGAGCGTTATTCATTACTTATCCTATTGTATTACTGAATGAAATCTCTAAAATATTGTTTTAAGATTGTATAAACCACTATGCTGAAGAGCTGAAGTGCCCGCCGTCCGCCGTGAAATTTAAAAATTTAGCCTAGCATTAGTAATTTGTTAACAGTTATGCTTAATCAGTGTAAGGGTTACGCCTCAAAGGGACTGTACGCGTAATTTCAAGTGACCCTCTTTTCAAAGACGACAATGCCCGATTCACAACGGTACACTTAAAAGCAAATTGTCTGATTTTGTAAACTAAATGTTTCAAATGTAGTTTCCCTTCAAAAGGGACTTGGACATTCCTACCGAAGGAAAACAAATTCTTAGAATAAAAATGTTTAAACCTAGAAAACCGACAATATCTACCACATTATTCATCAGATAAACTTTTTCAGAGTATCGTTGTGAAACGAGGACAGATTGAAGTTTTTTCAAAAAAAAAAATGCTTTGTTCCTTAACTAAACTATGCTCAGCTCTGGCCATATAGCTGCCAAGAGTAACCTTGTCCGTTGTGTTTATGAGATAGAATAAAAACCATGTTTATTTGACATTCAAACCATTATTTAGATTTTAACTTGAGACACTCTACGGGATGCACAAAAAATATAAAAAATTCGTCCTACAGGGTGTCACATAGAACGGGATTCTGACTAAAAAATAATAATTTTCACAATTCACGAAAAAGTCAATTTTGCAGGCAATAAGTTTCTTTAACATTTAATCGTCATTTTTCACAAGGTTCAACCCTTAAAACCAAACCTATCTTTGAAATTCATAACAGGATAAATAAATAAAACAATACTAATTCAACTGTATTCCCCATCAACTAGTTTTTTGTTGTTAACTATTAAACATTACTGTTTATGAATTAAATAGTGTTATATATAATTCAATGTCATTTCCACAGCTAGTCGTGCAGTGGTATTTGAGTACAGATGAAAGGATTGTTTATTTTCATATTTGTACTTTTTCATCCTTTATAAACAAATATAATGCTTTAAAAACAAACAACATACGCACAGTTTAAAGGAAAAAAAGTTAATTTAAACAAACTGTAAAAATAAACCTTATATAATATATTCTGTTCGAAATATCAGAATTAAGAATAGAATCTTAAAGATGTAACAATTTGTAAATTTTCTTAACATTTTATAAAAAATTCTAAGATTTTTTTTAAGTATGCAGCCCTCCCACCCCCCACATTTGTTTATATCATACGTACATATAAAATAATCCAACTGAAGTCTACGTGTCTTTCAGCTACTCACCCCCAATTTGGAAATATCAAAATTTGAAGAAGTTTTGAAATATCAAAAATTGGAGGAGTTTTGAAATATCCAAATTTGGAGGAATTTGGAAAAATATCAAAATTTGGAGGAGTTTTGAAATATCAAAATTTGGAGGAGATTTGAAATATAAAAATTTAGAGGAGTTTCGAAATATCAAAATTTGGAGGAATTTGGAAATATCAAAATTTGGAGGAGTTTTGAAATATCAAAAAAGACTATATAAAATGTCAGATTTAACATAAAAGCCAACGCTTAAAAACACTTTATGCAGTGCCTGGCATGGGTGTATACACTGTCTAGCACGTAATCAATTAAATTTTTAATTAAAATAAATGCGTTTGCGCATTTTCATGTTTTTAATTTCAAATCGTGACTTAACCGCTAGATAAGATGAGGTGGTTTACTAACAATTCTCTGAGAAAATTGTAATTTTTATCTGACAAAATCAAATTAGATTTTCAAATTTGTTCGTAAACTTTAACTGTAACCAGGAATATTTTTAGTACATTCTGTAATCTTTTTAGTAAACTGCAAATTAAAGCGATTTTTTAAGAAAATTCTTTCAGATAGGCTTAAAATGCGTTATGTAAACTCTTAAACCAAATTCTCGCGCAAAAGGATTGAAGTCAAATTTTTACTTTCTTTTGAAAGTCAAATTTAAAAAAAATTATCCATGGTATCGAAACCTAAACTAAGGTATATCAATTCAAATCAACATTGGGAATTTCTGATAAGAAAAATTTGTTCTCAGGATTCAAAGAAGTTTATAGAAGGATTTCGACACCACTGGAGACCACCGTTGGGATATTATTTCAAATTTACTGGAGGGCTTTGTATATATTTATGATTTACGGTTTATCACTTTCACAATGTGATTTAATTTCCACTAGAGGGATTCAGATATCCATTCAAGGGGTTATATTTCCACTGGATGGATTTAGATATCCATTTAGGGGGTTATATTTCCACTGGAGGGATTCAGATATCCATTCAAGGGGTTATATTTCCACTGGGGGGATTTAGATATCCATTTAGCGGGTTATATTTCCACTGGAGGGATTTAGATATCCATTTAGGGGGTTATATTTCCACTGGAGGGATTCAGATATCCATTCAAGGGTTATATTTCCACTGGGGGGATTTAGATATCCATTTCGGGGGTTATAATTCCACTGGAGGGATTTAGATATCCATTTAGGGGGTTATGTTTCCACTGGGGGGATTTAGATATCCATTTAGGGGGTTATATTTCCACTGGGTGGATTTAGATATCCATTTAGGGGGTTAATTTCAACTGGAGGGATTCAGATATCCATTCAAGGGGTTATATTTCCACTGGAGGGATTTAGATATCCATTTAGGGGGTTATATTTCTACTGGGGGGATTTAGATATCCTTCCAATGGTTTATCATTCCACTGAGGGGGATTCCGCTAATATTCTGTGTTTAGATTATTTACTTTCATTTGATAAATAAATGCTTGTATAATATACTCTGTATCCCATTTACGGTATTCAGGCATTGGCATGTCAAGCCCATCATAATAATCACAACAGGATAGATTGAGGTTGAGGACTAAGTTAGCAGATTAAATTACATATCGCGATACCAAAAAACTTATTCTATATTAAAAAACTTTAAATATTTAGTCAAGAATAAAATTTTTACATCTTCATTTAATATGATTGTGGATTATTTTAAGTAAACGCACTAGTGACACCTGTTGGTAAGTTTTAGAGTTAAAGTTCTAAAAGAGACAGAATTGTGTTCGTGAATTATCACTTTGAAGTTCCGCGGATTTTCAGTATTTAGACTTTATATTTAAATTACAGCAATTGATTTACAATAAAGCTTTTTTATATAATCGTTTTAAATAAAAGCAAAAAATCTAATTTGAAGTACCGTACTGTACTGTATAAGAATTCATTGTGTTATGCGATTTAGATATTTTAAAATTAGGGCTGTTTTAAACTATGCGGGTAGTATACATAATATCTTATTTCCAGGATGTCCTAATAAACGTGGAATTCAGAGATGATTTTGATATCGTCTTTGTAAACAATTGTTTGATTTAAAGAATAGTGATGCCTACTGGGAAAGCTATTATCTGTCTCCTTGAGTTCAGAACTTGTTTGTTTATGTTACAATATTGTCAAATTTCTACCTGATCTGTTATAATATTGTCAAATTTCTACCTGATCTGTTACAATATTGTCAAATTTCTACCTGATCTGTTATAATATTGTCAAATGTTTACCTGATCTGTTATAATATTGTCAAATTTCTACCTGATCTGTTAAAATATTATCAAATTTCTACCTGATCTGTTAAAATGTTGTCAAGTTTCTACCTGATATGTTATAATATTGTCAAATTTCTACCTGATCTGTTAAAATGTTGTCAAGTTTCTACCTGATATGTTATAATATTGTCAAATTTCTACCTGATCTGTTACAAT